CATTTATTTGGTCTTATTTATAAAGTATTGAACATGTGTATATGTTTTCAATAACGCATGAAACAACGTTGTGATTTATCGAATGTACGTATATCTCTTAGAAGCAGTTGGTTTACCTCTTCAACTTCATAGAAGGTGATGTGGTCAGCAACGATCATTCACGCACAGTTTCACTCTGCTCATGATTTAGAACAGTGGTCCCCAACCACCGGGCCGCGGACCGGTACCGGGCCGTGGATCATTTGGTACCGGGCCCCACAGAAAGAATAAATAACTTATTATTTCTGTTTTATTGATGATCAGAGTCTGAAAGAAGTTTTATTTTGGAAAATGACCGGATTCTCTCGCAATTTCATCCGCCTGTGGCTCTTGACATGTCAAGACGCTTGTCTCGGTCACGTGATACGTTGCCTCAAAAATTAAGCCCACAAACTAGCGAAAATGAGTGAATAACTTTTGGAGAGCTTCTTTGCAAAGAGGAAAGGCCACTAAGGAGACAGAAGAAGAGCTACAACTTCCAAGAACATGAAAGCTTCATTTAACAGACTGTCAGGAGTCTGATTAAATATCAGGAGTAATTCTGATGCGCCAAGCCTGCTCTGCAGAATATGTGGCGACAGAGGAAGATCAGCTGCTGGAGGTTGTAAATGACGGTGGCCTTAAAAGTATGTTTGAGACAACAACTCTGCTGGTGTTTGGATTAAAATCAAGGCTGAATATCCTGAGATCTCCACTAAAGCACTGAAAACCCTGCTTCCATTTCACACATCCTCTTTGTGAAGCGGGATGTTCTGCAGTGACGGCAATCAAAACAAAACGGAGTAGACTGGACATCAGGAACAGACTTCGGGTGTCATTGTCTCCCATTACCCCAGATGGGACCGTCTCATTGCAGAGAAACAAGCTCAGGGCTCCACTGATTCAGCGTTATTGTGAGTTGTAGTCTTTATGCATTTTATATTTGTTTTCATGCCGATCGTATCATTTTATTACGTCGTGTTTATCCGCCACACCTTGAAGGCCGGTCCGTGAAAATATTGTCTTACATGAAACCGGTGCGTGGTGCAAACAAGGTTGGGGACCTCTGATTTAGTGTTAAACAATATTGTGAGTCGAGTTGGGATGATTTGTCATTTTTGATAAATGGGTCCCCAAAAAACTAAGTTTGGGAACCACTGGTCTGTAAAGAGTCCTACGATGGGAAAGACAACAAGAGTGTCCATGTACAGCACTTCATGCTAACAATCCCACAATGCAATCTGCTTTTAGGCTGCAAAAATCACCCGACAGTGATGATGATGATGCTTAGTGTAGAAAAACAGCTGAGGGTGTGTTTTGTAGAGTATTGACTGAGTGAAGGAGGGAGTGATTTCAGATGCACATATAGTAAAGAATGGGCCCTCAGTGAAAGGTAATGTAATGCATTCGTACCAACCATTCTTCCTCATCACTTAACAACACAGTCACATCTTTTATTGTGTAGCAGTAGTTTATGCTCCAGCAGAGGAGCGTCAAGTTGATCCATGCATCACAGACTTAGAGTGCTGCTCAATCACCATCAAGACACTTGGTCAACAACACATACTGTATACGCATTTCAAGATTCACCAAATTTGAACTGGAGCTTCTGCGTAAGCTCCACAAGTGAATCCACTGATTGCAGCAGCTCTGTTGAAAAGATGAAATGAAATGCTGCTGAGACCAAATCTTCAGACTAACACACTGATTGAACAGTTGAACAGTGTCCCAGACAGGATGGATCCAATGTTGGATTGCATACGCTATTTAGGAGAAGTAGCAACTTCCTAATTGTTACATAGCATCAACTATGGCTCCGATTGTATTCTGCAATCAGCCATAGTGTTCAATCTGTGATCCCAACCACTGCATGTGAACCAAGGTGGTGAATGGTGTGTGAAAGTGAAGTCTCCGGACTGCTCACTCAGTGCTTTCTGTCATGATGTGCGAGTCCATAAGTTACAGCACATCAGCAGTTCACTACTTAAGCACACAAAACCGTAAATACAGCACACAAATTAAGCTGTCAATCAAATGTTTACAGAACATTTCACCATGTCAATATGCATTAGCTGCTGACTGATTGCCATTTGTCTAATTAATCAATCCCCACCTTCAAACTCATATGCCATTAATTCACTGATAACAGGGTCACCGCACACTCCTCACACGCATAAATCTCTGCCTGTCGCTGTCTAAAAATAACCACGGAGCTCTGCTGGCATGATGACTCTCTACAGCACATAGCGGAGTAAAAGAGCTGAATACAAACACAGAGATGATGAGACACATCTTTGTGTTTCCCTGGTTTCCTCTGGGTTATGTGGACTTAAGACAGCACATTGACTCTCAGACTCCATGTAGCAGCTATAAAGGCCCTCTGTGAAGGTACAGTTATTACACACACAGTCCGTTCCTGGTCTCAAGTGGGAAACAGTATTGATCGAGCCACAAATCCAACAAAAGGGGCTTAAACTGAGTAACACCCACTCTCCGATATCAATCCAGAAACATGACTCAGCAACATTTTGCTGTTAAAGAGAAAAAAAGCAACAGAAAGGAATCTGTTATTCCCCAGAGGTAAGCCACTGTTTTCAATCAGCAGCCAACATGTTGCTGCTGCCGCCGCCAGTGCTTTCCAGCTGGAATCAGACCAAGCGGCTACATCGGCCTAACGTTTAACACCTAAACAGTGCACGTGGGAATAAAACACAAGGACTCTGATTTCACTTCTGCCTTCCCTTCAACCACTCTCTGCATTTCTTCTTCTTCTTCTTCTTTCATTCATCTCATTTCTCCTATCTCCTCCACTACTCTGTTTTCCTTCCCATTCCTTGTCTCTGGTGGGTAGATGCTTTTTGGCACGGTTCCCAGATAAGGGATGGTATGAAAGCATGCGTGGAGGAACAGTTATTACAGGCAGTGTGCTCAGATCAGAGAGCTTTCAGATCACAGTGACAGAGACTCTTATCACACCCGGAGCTCACAACTCGGGGCACTAAGGTTTTCCATTTGACTCCCTCAGGACGACTGGCACGTTACAATAGGAGATGCCACAGCACATCCGTTGTAACAGCTCTATCGTGTCCAGAACAATGCTTTTGATGACTTTATGTCTGTTAAAAAGCTAGCCAGTCAGAGAAAAAGGGGAGAAGCACACAAAGTTTTGGGGTGGCTGTCTTAGTCGTCCATTACAGGTGCCCCATATCCCCCGTAGCAGTGTTCAGTGGCTTCACAGGCTTGCTTTAAGGTTCTGATTCACTGACACTGAAAGCACTTTTTGAAGCATCAAAAAATAGATACAGTTCTATTTCTACACATCCATAAATCTACACAGACACTGAGAGCACACACTGAACACAACACGACCCCCTCCGGTTCAGAGGCAGAGCATCTAAAGCAGTCTGTTCTTTAATAGCCACATTTCCAGGATTACTTGGAGTTGCTTTACTGACACGCCGCTGTGTTTCAGAAACAATAACGTTGTTCTTCATACACTTGAACACACGTTTGCAGCCCATTCATGATTGATCTGGCAACTTTGTGGCTATACTTTAATCACTGTGCAACGTCAAGCTGTTCTACTTCTATTTCTTATGGTTTTATATAAAGCCACAAAGGTGGTATTGTCTAGTTTCTCAGGAACAAGAGAGAATCATTTTGGATTCTTTATTTTCAATGTTTATTTCCAGAGGGCATGAATGAGGACTCCTAATGAGATTTGAAGTTGTTCTTTAATATCTCTCACTTATGTGTTCACTAATGGTTCTCTTATGATTATCTTTTATGATGTATTTCTCATGATGTGTATTTTGTGATGTGTCTTGTTGTTGCTATATACTTTATTAACTGTTTTTAAATGAGTGTTTTTAATGTATACCACATCTGTACAGAGTTAATACCACACTTTAGTTCTACTTCTCCAGTTTATGAACCAATATAGTTGCGCCCATGCCCCTCATTGGACACTCCCCTTGCTTCTCTGCCAGTCTGGGACAACAATTGGCCTGAAGTCACATGACCATATACCCAGTCCATATTTGCTGGTGTGCCATTGGCTAATACAGTATGTGTGTGCATGTATATGATTGGCTGTGTGTAATGTTTTTTTTACCTCTGCTGTGTTTCTGCTTCATAACCAACCCATTTGAATGTTGTCTGTATGTGTGTCATCATGACCCCGATGAAGGCCACGAGTCAAAACGTGTTGGTCTAAACAATAAAGTTGTTGTCTATATTGCAAGTGTTGCTGACCTCCGCTCTTAATGTACTATTTCTATTTTGTATCTGTACTTCCTGAATAGTAGAAGGAACTTTGTGGCCTTCCATCTCCTGCTTCACAGAATTTGTCAAATTTGTCAAATTTTTTAAGTAGATACAAAATAAAAAGGTATCATCAAATATTAATTCTATGGCAATTGCATAAAAAAGAGAGTGTATATAGACAAGAAAAGCGCAGTGCGAGTCATCATAGAGTCACTTGACTGAAGGACGTCCGCCGGTAGGATAGAAGGGTCTCGTGTCCAACAGCTGCAGCAGAGCCGGAATGGGATCAGCCACATGGTTGACACCAGTGGTAAGTTACTGTAAGGTGTCTAGCTTTGATGTATGCTGTCTGGGTGCAGTTTGCATGACTAACTCTTATACTTTACCATCCAACAAAATGAATAAACCTACGTGGAATGGAGTACTCACAGGTAACAACATATTTTATATCTCTTATATTTACATCTTTTTCTTTGATCCAGATCAAATGAACTGGACTACAGATGTAGAAATGACATCAGAATACAAACATGGAGACCATTGAAGCAAATTGAATGTATTGGTGTATGTTCTCACCAATATACTCAACAGACCAATGGGAAACAACCTCAGTTTAACTGAGCAGATTGATGCTATGTCATGAAAACTCTTCTCTGACAAACTGTACGGAGGGATTCATTCATTCACTACTCATTTATTGTGTTCATGAGACTCACGGTCATGAAGCCGTCCAGTAGACCAGAGTCAGGTTTGGGTGGAGCCTGCAGGCGCTCCATGGACCATTTCTCTATGATGGAGGCCACTTGGCTGTTCTCAGTGTTGAGGATCCTGAAGCCCGTCATGTTCACACCACTGTATCGGTAAGGCTCCACGTCCAGTGCAAACAGATCCTGGGAAGTCATGGAAAATACATTAGAGAATTCTTTCTCGAAGAGACACACTGATATTTTATATATCATCAGCCCTGCAGTTAAAAGTCATTGAGATAAAGCTAAAAACCCCAAACTTAGCTAGCAACATACCCAATGACACCTCAATGTTAAGAATGTGTGCTTGGTGCTAATGGTTATTCAGAGTGGGAGGTGTTATTTCAGGCATCCAACAGGGTTCCACAAGCAAAAGTCAAATTCAGTTATGGACATGGCACTCTGATTAAAGCATAGGTAAAAACAATGAACAACTGTGTGAGAAAATATCTTCAGTCAAAGGTACCAGTAGAGAAGGAAGTTAACCATGACTCCGAAAGAGCATTTTTCTAAGAAACATCCAACTACTGAGCTTCCAATTCTATTATTTCCCCCGCTAACATTAAACTTAAGCTAAAGATTCTGATGCAGAGACCTGATCAAATGTGTTCCGTTCACAACTACAAACAACACAGCTACAAAGTAATATCAACTTCTATCAACTCAAGTTCATTGGTATCACAGTGTTTAGAGCTGGCTGCTACACCAGACTGACTGAACACAATGAGTCAAAAACGAGGTTCAAATGATTAAAACCAGTACACTTAACGATAAAGAGACCTATACTAACACCTGTGCTCACCTAGTGTATTTGTCACTTTAGCAGAGAGTGCACTGAAGTAGTGTGTATTGCAGCACATAACTCTACTAAAACCACAAGCTGTCATTTGTATTGATTAAAACAATATACAGAATATGAATGAATCAGCTTTAGGTGTTGGTAGGTGTCTTGTTGAACATTGGACAGAGGCGTGTTAGCTGTTTCCTCTGTTGTTTAGACTCCAGCTCTGCCATCTTTTTATCTTGAGGCCTTTTCATCGAAGGCGTGACAGATTATCGTAAAAGTGCATTTAAAATGAAAAAAAATTAAAAGTTCCAATATATTTGAGGCAAAGGACCAACTAATAGGTTCCTGTTGACAGAGCAGCGTCCGGCAGCCTGCTTGAGGTAAACCGCTGTGCAGCTTGAGCTACTGTAGGATATTTTGTTTGAGTTCCTTCTGGTAAGCAGTTACGCAGTGTAAATGTCAAGAGCTTTTATTGTGAAAGGTAAGAATGAAAGAAGTGGATTTGCTCTGCGCTGCTTTTGTCATGGTTGAAAGGAATAATAAAGTTGCTGTCTTGGTTCGGATTACGGAGCCTCGCTGTCGTTAAACACTATAGTGTACTTATTGAATATGTCTTTTCGCACATGGTTGGTTGATGACTTTAGTTGCAGTGTGAAAGCTCAGAAAAGAAGTTAGGTCACTTTGTCACCACGTAATATTCGTGTTCTGTGTGAAATTACTCAGAACTAAAAGTACAATTAAAAAATAATGTATTGACCAAAAAAGTAATTGCATGAAACAAAACAAGCTCCTGGTGTGTAAAGGCCTGTACGCTCACAATAAATATGTATTTGTTTAGATATCTCTTTAAAAATAGAACTCACTAATACTACTAATAATACGTTTATTATTAGAATGATGGTGTTAAAAAGTAATGCTTTTATAAAATCAAATGGACCAAACTGTATTAAATACAACATGAGAGTGGTGAGCCTTCAGTCAGGCCCATGATGACCAAGCCTTCCATATAGTATTAGACAAACATTTAACACAAGGGAAGTGAAGAGTAAATACAAAAGTGGCAGGAAAAGGCTGCCATATGTGGCCTCAGTGTGCTGCTTTCTTCACTCTGCTGGGAGAATTATGCTGTCAGCACTGGACTGTCTGCCAAACTCAATGACCACTGTACATCCACTCCCTCACTCATTTTGTTTTTCGCTTTTCATCTTCCCAAAAACACCAGAGTTATCTCACATAAATTGGGGCTGTAGAATGGCTGTGGAAAGAAAGTAAACTCATTTAGATGTTTTATTTCAAACCTAAAGAAATGATTCTTTTTAGCCTCCATGATGAAAAGCGCAGACAGCTGAAAACGGAATTATTCCGTTTTCAAAGGAACTTGACATTAAAAAAGTAGAGGTCAGGGGGGAGGCGGGGCGAACACAGAGTGAGAGACAGTCTTGTGATCCTCTTCAGGATGAGAGTGGGACGGGACTTCAATAAGAGTTTTAATTCAGTCAAATCTTTTGACGTGCAGTCAAGGAGCTTAGAATTATGCCGAGTAATGTGTGGACATATGCAGATGTGTGTTGTTTTACATTTTATTGTGTGGACAGAGAAGCAGACTTTCTTCTGAGACAACCAAAGGCAAGGTGACTTTTACAGCTGCGCAATATCAGAGCTACAGACTGAAGCCAGGCCTTCACATTCAGGTCATAACTAGATAGTGACACCATCTTCTGCCTCAGCTCTCTTTACTCCACAGGAAGTACTTGTGCTTTCACTTGTATGCCGAGACTCCGGATGACACTCTGTATTTACAGATTTCAAACTGGCTGTCACCATTGTGAAAAAGAAAGCATACCGCTACAAGTACTAGCATGACTACTGCTGCTGCTGATTATTAATAACCATCCTAATAACAAGAGGCAGAGGAAGAAGTGGGGGAGGAAGCAAAGGGAAATATGAGGCAGATAAGAAACTTGAAGGAAAATAAATGAGGAAAAGGGAGATAAAGAGGAGGGAGAAAAATAAGACCATGGCTGTATTTTGAGAACTTGACCTGCAAGGTCAATGCATTTGTCATGTGACTAAAGGGGGTAGCTGAGCAAGTATTACTGTCTGTGCAAGCTATTAAAACAACACTATCTTATAGATCTGGATAGGAGTTTCAAAACGTCACAAAAAAGGAAGTAATTTACAAAGGAAGTAAATTGGTGAATATGCTTGAACATCAGACAAATCTTTTACTGAGTTATGGTGCATGGTGCAGGGAAATCTGTATCATTTATTTATTCTTTTATTTTTCCAAACAGGTGCAGTGTAATATCCTTGAGGATGAGCGCAAAATATTCCTGATGTACAAGTAGAGGTAGTCTGTCGATGTTTGGTGCAATGTGTACCATGAGCATATTTCTTGTCTTTTGCTACAATAGTATTGAGCTTCGCCCTCTACATTGTGTGACATTTCTCCAGTTAGACATTCTGACCTGAGCTGATGGAAGAAAACATCTGTGATGTTAGACCTGTTAAACAGAAGTTGTAACTTATATTGAAGGGGTGCTTTAAGTGTGTTTTTTAGAACATGATGAAGTAGAAGTTTTTCATAAAAGTATAATGTCATATTTTTGACATGACTCGATGGTGGTGAAAGACAGCAGGCTAATTAAGGTTTACCACAGATGTGTCTTTGCTGTAGAGTTTGACTCATTGTTGATTCTTCTTCTTACAATACAAGTAGGTGACCTAGCATGGCTACCAGAGAGCAGCCTGCTGACTTCTTCTGCTGTCTTTGTCTAACACATAACACCTGTCTTCCTACTCGTTCCTGCTCAGCACGTAGATTTTACACTGTTTTGCATCAAAAATGTAATAAAATTCTTCATAAAAAGAGTAGCAATATAGCCGTTTGAGGTTTCCTGCCAACAGTTTTATAGATGTCTCTTTCATAATGCTGGTCTGTGGGGAAAGGGGGGCTGAGGTTCAGTAGGTCAAGACGTTCATCCACTAATCATAGTGTCTCTAAGTAAATAAATCTGCCCGGAGGCCTTCAGAATTACAAGTGAATCCCTTTGCAGTTTAAGTAAATGGGGACGATATTGCTGATTGTCATAGTCTTCAACCAATCAGATCTTTAGTTTGACATGTTGGGCGTATTCTTTGACGTGCCAGAGCCTGCTAGCTGGCCTACAAGTACGTCAGCATTAACGTGCAGCTCAGCATTAACGTCTTTGTGTTTGGAGCTGTTTGGAGCTACGCTACACTAAGCTGAGGTGGCTAACCAAGGCAGCAACACGACACTATAGCCTGACAGGACACTATCAAGCTACGGTGCTTTTGAAAACTTTTGCTGAGACCCGAGTGGATCTACAACTCAACCAACATTTTCGCAGGAGGACCTCTGGCTGGAACTGAACCGCACCGATGTTCTGTACAACCGCGGTATTAAACTCTTTGTAGTCAAAGAAAGGAGGATGGACTTTGTCTTTAAGTGAACAGCAGCTTTGGTAAGTGAAGTGCTTTTGTTTTTTTACATCTGCAGTAGCGTTACTACTGTTAGATTTTCTATCTTGTCTTTTTTATGATACGGTTAATATTGTTCCCTCTGATGTGAATAATATTTGAATGGCTCGTGCTGTTCAGTGTGTGGTGGAATATGCGTGTTAGCGCTGCAGAGTTGCTGGATTGATTTGTTGCTTTGTTGTCATATAAATATATGTGACTGGTTGTTGTGAGTTTGTTCTTGTCATTGTGTTCATTACATTGATTTTGACTACATGCATTGTCCGTCATGTGCCTATTCATGTGTCTGCACTCTGCAGTTAGTGTATTTGTAGATGTTGAGCTTCATTTTTACACAAAACAAATAACCTGTAGGGGTTGGGGTTCGGACATTTGGTTCTCTGTTTGGGCTTTTGTTTTCTTTTATGTTCGTACCGAACGGTTTAATATGAATATGTGTATTGTTACACCCCTAGAAACAAATAATAACCGTAGCTGTGGCATTATAATGAGGTTATTAGGAGGTGGCTCAACTGTAGTAGGACAGCACTGAAGGCCCAGGTATAAAACACACGGCCCGCCACTGCAGCATACAATATGTTGGGTTAGGGTTTCTACTGGGACAAATTGGCAGCAAGGCTGACTCAGTATGTGATGTATGTGAAACATCCATGAGGAAGACAAAATATGGAGGAGGAGAAGGAAAAACACAGCTGAGAAAAGAAGCGTGAGTTAGATGAAGAGCATTTAATTTAAAGGTACTATGAGGAACTTTATTGTTGTGATGATTTTGGTAGTCAATGTGGGAAAAAGGGCTAGTGTTTCCTGGCACCAGAGTCCCTTTAGAAAACCTCTGATTTTACTGCAGCAGGGTCTAACAGTCTTCCCTGTGCAGTCCTGGATCTGGTTCTCCCGTGCCTCCCTTCCCTCCAGCGGGCCCAGCTTTACCACCCTGGCTGCCAGCAGCGTGCCGTCGGTGTTGGCTCCCAGCTTGGCCAGGGCTTTCCACCTCCCACCGGAGCTCCGACTGCAGGTCGAAGGTGGTAGCAAAGCCCGATGTGGGTCTGACCGGTAGACTGGTTGCTGCTGGAGGCCCCGCTAGAGTCTGAGCTGAATGAGTTTCTGGTGAGCCTGCATGATTTCATCTGATAAATCGTACCCGGTTGCACCGATGACAAGCATTAAGAATAACTATATAGATACAGCTGATCTATCTTCCTGCTGCTGATTTTTTACCTATGTTGATAGACACATAGAGGCGTCAGTATTAAATTGAGATTGTTTCATAACCAGTTAAAAGATCCTCACAGTAACTAAGAAAAAGAAGAATAGCAGAAAGAAGATGTGAAAGTGAAAAAAGAAAAAGAAAAAAAACAGTTATCTTAATGTCTCAAAGAACTATGCTATTGTTTTCTTTGACTCTGGAAAAAAGCATTAAAGGGACAAAGAATGATCCAAGGTAATGAATATAAAATGAATAGCGGAGAAAATGAAGATTGAAGAGCAGCGTCGCCTCGTTCTTTGGGATGCAACAAATCTTCATGGGGATATGGAGCTCTGAGTTAGACCTGATGACAAAGCGACTGTGCAGCACAGCCTCTTTCCCTACTTACCAGTGTGGTGAAGATGTAGTGATAATACTCTGTCATCATCCCCATGGCGAGAGCCTAAGAAAGAGAGTGACAGAAGGAGGCAGAGAGAGATTGGGAGAGGGAGAGATTTATAAATGAATAGGGAAGCAGATAGAAGATGTTGTCATATGTTCCATACAGGCACACACAGACGTGTCTGTTTGTGTGACTGTATTACTGGCTGTACTACCATGTAATGTGAAGAGGCATATATTCTGCTGCACTGCTGCAGCCACAGGCTCAGAGATAAGAAACAAACGCCCACCCAAAATAAAAACAGCTAAATAAAGCATGTAGAGAAATATGAAGGATAATACATGATTCTATAGACAAGGGACATCTGGGACCTCATCTCACAATAATGAGGTCCAGGGTGGAGTTACTGTGGGATATTGTTTAGAAGCTGGTGTTTACAACCTTTTGAAAACAGCTAGTGAGGTGTGATACTTCTGCTGTTGATTTGACAATATGATGCTTTTAGTGCTGGCTCTGTTTGGAACAGACTTTACTGGCACAGACAGGAACAGTGCAAGCAGCTCATCAACATTTCTCCCTCACAGAGTGGTATGTGGAGCAACAATCAGTGTAAATGTGTTACAGTTTGTGTTTAGCGTTTTCTGTTTATGTTAATGCAGCATATTATCCCAAGAAATATGTCTGCACAAGACGATTTACATCCCGTGTCAATGTGGGAAGTAGTGTGTCCTTCATATAGGGAATGTAAAATAAGGGTGTGGAGGTCGGGTGGTGAATGGCTTCGTTTTACGCTCAACTTCCATGCAGGTGACCAGACCTCATGTCATGTTGAAGTTCATGTTCTAACCACAATCTTTCCCCTACCCTACCAATGATAGAGTTGCCTGAAGATATTGCAGAAAGTCAGAATTAACAAATGGAAATATTGCCATTGGACGCAAACAAAATATTTATTGAACATCAGTCAGCTGTTGACATTCACAGGGCTGACGCAAAGATTCAAATTCACACCACTAATGATTCGATTTCAATAATATCTATAATATCCAACATATCATATTTGAGGCCCGAGCAAGAAAAGGAAATAGTTTAAGACACGGAAAGTGCACGGAACCTATTGTTTTTGTATAGATTATAATAATTCTACTGCAAAATCACATTTTTGAGTGGTTTCGGTTAACTGCTAGTCAACTCACGGCAATTAGTCAAAGCTAGCGAAAAGTTGCAATGCTCTGCAGTGATTGGCAATGGTCAAAAGGAGGTTCAATACCCAACCCTATTTGAGTTCAAGCTAAATGGAGACTGAGATTCACAGGCAGATGTGTGCAGTGTCTTTATGGAACCCAACTTTCATGTTGAAGATGAGACTTAGCCACAAGGCAAAGCTCTCAATTTGCCAGTCAATCTACTGAATGTTCCAACGCTCAACTGTAGTCAAGAGCTTTGTGTAGACCAAACACAAACAAACCCCTCTCACGCTGCGGGGACCAACTGGTCTGGGAACACCTTGTGATCCCTGAGGAAGAGTTACAAGACACGTCTGAGAAGAAGGACACCAGGGTTTTACTTTAGCCACAAGCAGCAAAATATGAAAGGATGCACAAGCAAACATTTAGTTTGCAAAGAAAAACACTATAGACCCAGTGCTCATTTACAGTATGTTTGAATAGTTTCACCATTTAGAAGAAAAACCACATGAACACCAGAACTGAATCTGAGCACAGAGGGGGAATCTGGATTAATGGGGAAACTACATTCGGCTCTGTTGCAGCTCCATTTTCCCATTTTAAGTTGATTATATCAATGTAATTTTACTTGACTGTCGCCTTGTTCACGTTCAGTGTGAGTCAGACTTTTGTCATCTGTCTGCGATTGCCTTTCATCTTACCAAGCGAGGAATATGTAGTCATTCGCACCATTACCAAGGCAATCTGTCTCTAAAAATGCACCTCTGAGATGAGATTCTAAAGTGGAACCTTTCTCTGCATAATTCTATTATCATCTAGACTGTGTGTGTGTGTGTGTGTGTGTGTGTGTGTGTGTGTGCTGGCTGTATGCTACCCCATCCCGGCTGTAGGGTGCTATATGGTGGTGTCAAAGTCCTGTCCACCGTGCAGAAACTCACTAAACCAATATGAATTACAGATTAGGACTGTGTGGAAAGGATGATTAAATAGATAGGAAGGGATAATGGCTGCTGGTATCAGGTGGGAAACCTTGAGAAAGCCTCCAGCATTCCATCTGAGAGCCAGCCCACTCAGTAGTGATTCACATGGTGCCATCTCCTGGACCTTGTGATAACAGAAGAGTGCCGTTAACCTTTCAGAGCTCATATTACGTTTTTTATGTTACTTGTGGGCAATGAAAACAAATCACGAAATAACTTACATCCTGTTCAGTTATAATTACTGTTCAGGTTTAAAACAATCAAAATGATCAAAGAGACTTAGTTTAGCTCCGTTCAGGTTTCGGTTCAGACAGCTTTTCACTTTTCAACTCGCCTTATTTGCTGGACCGTTTGTGAAGACACCCAATATTCAGACAGTGCAGATGATAATAATAATAATGCAGCGATTTTCTATAGCGCTTTTCAAAATACCCAATTATTAAGAACAGTGTTTAACTATCAAAGTGTGAAATTCAGTTTTACTGATGATCATTATTGCTAAATATTCAGTGAAAAATATGCAATTGGGAGACCAGCATTAATGCTTTCTAGTAATCCCTTATAACGCTACATTGTGAACAACACATCTGTGTTGAAATCAGGAGGAGGAGAGCTAGTTATGTTTGCAGCACCAAAGCTAACAGCTAACGTACAGAGGTTCCATTGGGTTATGTGATGATGCGTTCAAGCTCTGGTCAGTAAAACTGAGTAATGGGAGAATGTTAATTATAATGTTATCATGATTCATTATAATGTCATCTTATCAAATTTTGTTTATGGCAAGAAACGTAAATTAATACAATTGTTTGAAGGATATGTTTTCACAGCAATATAAAATAAATATTAGGAAATTATGATCTGTTTAACTTCCAAACTCTAGCTCTAAGCAACTGATTATACATCGTTTAAACTACTGTTGTCAAGATGTTTTATCAATAAAACCACAATGTGTTGCTATGCGAGTACCCACTATAGATGACAGTAACATTTAAAGGATAACATTTCGCAGGGCGGTTGAAATGATTTTTAAGGACGGTGGTTAAAAAAATCAAACTGCCTAACAAGTTACAGAAGTAATTAGCTTTACTTACAAAGGAAAGTCAATTGTGATTAGCTAACCACAATATTACATGTGATAACAGGCTGTGCTACCCGTTCAGGACTGGAACATCCACAATGAGAGTTTAGCATAATTCAAATACTGTACTTTAAAAGAGATAACTAGCTCTACCCTGCAACACACAAAAATGTTGCTCCTTTGTTTCCATATGTCCCGATAGTGCGTTCAACTCACACTCACTTTTAGTGCCAGAGAGCTACAGCTGATGAAATCAACAAGCGACCCGATCCACGGTCATTAGCTAACAGTCAGAGGCTTTCTTTCGTCTATTCTGTGTGAAATGGAACTCCCATTATTTCAAATGTGCCTTTAATGAACACCACCAGTCTCATAACAACCAAAGCAGTTCTTTCATGTTAATCGTTTTCTGCTGTTATTTCTGCATCTCTGTAGTCTATTGTACTTTACTCAACTAGGCTATGCAACAACATCAACCTACTGTTTATATGTCTCTCTCTCTCTCGTCTCCAGTACAAGCAATATAACTGAGTACTTGTGGCACTGTACTGTAATCTACTTTGGTTGGTGTGCGTACATGTATTTGTTTAAGAAAACTTGTAAAAACAAAACAACTTGTAATTCTACCTGCAACGATGTGAGGACGTAGGCTTCAGTGTCAGCTGAGGGGCTTGAGTTAAGAAGCCTTTCTAGTTTATATATATTATTCTCTTTTTCCCTCTTTTTGGCTTTTTCCTGCCTGCATACTGGACCACTAACCCTTTCTACTCCTGACGTATGGATAAACCACATTAATGAGATATTTAAACCAGAGGGGAAAAAGTTGAATATATTGTTTTCCTTTTGGAATAATTCATGTTCATCTTTAATCCGTTTGTCACTTTTCCATCCCTCAGCTTTGTTGCACTAATTCAACATGTCGGTTTTCTCAGTTAAAGCGACGGCTTTGTTCATTTTCATTCGTGATGAATTTTCACTGACTGTTGCCTTTTTTTAATCCTCGGTTGTTTATCCGCCTCCTTCAAAGTAAATGGTTAACGTTGGAACCATATTTTTAACAACCACAGCTGGATGCAGTAAAAGGTCATCGCCAAGTTTAAATGCAGTTATTGTGAACAACACCCATGAATGTTTGCTTCTTTTGTTGAAATAGTTTTACGTCAGCATCAACAATGTTATATTCTCTCCTGACTGTTCACTTCAATGTTCAGCTGTTTATTTTCTTTCTTATTGATTTTCATGAAATCTGTTTTGGAATGTGTGAACCCTAAATATAGACAATGTAAATAGACCATTATGTAGTTTTGGAGTATTTAACAACACAGTTTTCCCCTGCTAGTCTTTGTGCTACACATCTTTGGACAATCTCTTTTCCAGACATGTGAATGAAATTAATATCATTTGTCACCTGGCTGCCTTGTTGTTTCTACATTTGGGGTTAATGGCTGGTAGCTGTTGACGGGTATGACAATCTCAAACTTATTGGTGCGCCATGTAATGAGATCATATCAGGACAGTGAAGTCTTTCATTACATCCCATTAGCAGGGTTTCTCTCTGAAATTATTAATGAGAGTATAGTCCTTGACCTTCCCAAGCAATCTACTACTCAGGCATTGATTAAAAGCCCTGGGAGAGTGACAGAGTGCCGGGGGTGAATCATGTTGTCTTTAATATTTGATAAATCCTGCTAGCACAAGAAATATGACTGCTTGCTAATTGAGTTACTCATTGCAAAGTCACAACACACATACACACACACACACCTGCTTCAGTATCCCAGCAGCCATTTCGTGGCCACAGTCAAAGATGATGTGGAACTCCTTCCCTCTCTTCATCTCTTTTAACAGTGGCTTAGCATCCTTGGTCTCTGCAGGCAGCTGCCGGATCTTTAACCGGATGTTGTAGCGGGATGGCGCCTTTATAAGTTCTTGCAACCGAATCAGACCTGTGGGGAAAGCAACAATGGAAAAAACATACATATAAAAGTTATATTTTACCCCATTGAAACTGGTACAGTCTGGCTCCCACGAGGGCAATGAATTTCCAAAAAGGAAATTTCAAATTTATGTACTTACATTTCCACAGTAATTGAGGTAACAGCTACTCCTGATTCATATGGCAGTGGTGGTCACAATTAGAGTGAGGGTAAAAAGGCTGCTGGAATATATTTTTGTCCTACTGTATATTCTCTATTTGAAAGAAAACATTTTCTTCCTATTTCTTTCCCATGTCCTTCCGATATTCTCAACAACTCAGCTGAGCAGTCTGCATCGCCTCGGTATCAGCAGACTTTGATCCAACGATACAATACTGCACATCATTCATCATAGATGACATTGATTCTATGCTCACTATTGATTGCTCTCTTCCTCTATAGGCCATTCACTGCTGTGTTTAGGATATTCGTGATGTCGACCTTGCAGTGGAAAATGAATGGAAGTTCAACTGAATCATAAACATCTTAATTTTGACAGATACACGTGTATACATATTTCTCTTCTCAGTTTTATGCACTTTTTTTCATTGATGGTTGTTATTGTTCAAATAATTCACATGGAGTGCATATGCTTGATGAATAAATAGAAATGTAGTTTGTTAAATGTAGTGTCTTTGCGTCCAATTGGCGGATGTTTTGTATACTTTTCTGCTTTCTTGACTTGCGTCAATGCTTCAATTCAACCTACTGGCAGATCAGAATATACTTTATTTTCATTTTGGAAGGCAGTGATGAAAACATTAAAAAGGGTCGGAAGAGGTGTTGCTCAATTTACAGTATGGTGGTAGAGTATGAACACAATACAGACCATATGAAATGAAATTGGAGAATGTGTGACATGTTGCAGTTACTTGGTTATGTTGCAGGCCGGTTGGCTTCTCTGTGCCTGTCTGTGTTTTGTAGAGCATGAAATATTCACTAAATACCTAAATACATGATAATATAATAGTAGTGCTGGGCAAGTTAACGTGTTATTATCGCGTTAACGCATTAATTAATTAACGCCGACAATTATTTTATCGCGCGTTAACACAGTTTTTTTTTTAATTATTAAGCGGACATTTTTAACACAAGAACCGGCCAGCGGACTGGCCGGAAGAAACGCCAGACAAACACAGCTGTTCACAGCTTGCTGCAGGCCTGAACAGCTGTGTTTGTGTGGTGTCTCTTCCGTCTCTTCCTGTTTCCTTCACCTACATTCCCCTGGGTCCTAAGTCCCTCCATGTACAGCTTCTTATCACCCTCTATGTACCAACGTACATTTATAACAAATACCACACATATTACGGTAATCAGTGTTGCATATGTGTCGAACCAAAATACCAAAAAAAGCAAAAAAGAAATGATTCATTTAAATTTTTTAAAGTGTTTTGTTTGTAATATGTATAATAAGTATATCATTTAGTAATCGCTACTGAGAATTTAACAAACATAAAAACTAGTGCTGGGCAAGTTAATGCGTTATTATCGCGTTAACGCATTCATTAATTAACACCGACAATTATTTTATAGCGCGTTAACGCATTTTTTATTTATTTTTTTATTTTGAAAGCCCGTTGCTCACTGGCAGCGGTGAAGGAATGGAGACTACCGGACATCGCTGCGGTAAAGTCAGCAGACACTCAGATCTCCGTGGTCAACTCAGCAGACACTTACACTTTAGTGCACCTATATGCTGAAATTGCGGTAAGCGCATTCAAACGGCACACATCGGGAGCGAGCGAAGGACTTTGAAAGGTAGCGGAAAGATTAAGTGAGACAACATCTGGTTTCTTCAGACGAACATCTGGTTTTCAGAATAAGATGCCAACAAAGTATGAATTATATTCACATTAAGTATAAAACATGCTGCATCTCATGAGTTAAAGGGAAAATACACCTAAATTGTGGGTAAAGTGTCTTTATTCTTTGATCGCTGGGTAACCATCATTACCTCGGAGTTACAGCATTATATTGATGAACAGTAGAGCTGCATTCACATGCTCTGACTGTCATGAAGACAGACATTTTTGCTGAAACGTGCTGAAACATTTTATTCCTGTTGCACAGCAGTCGAACGTTTCACATACAGTCACACACTGAGCACAGATAGTGAAGAGATAGAACTGCTACTGTGTAAAGAGAACCTTATTTGTTTAAAGTGTTTACAAACCAAATGTTATTGACCTTTTGTTCATATAGCAGTACTTTTAAAATAAAAGTGCGCAATACACTACTTTTGAATTCATTATTGAACTTTGCCATAACAATGCGATTAATCGCAAAAAATCCATGCGATAAAAATTTGAATCGTTGCCCAGCACTAATAAAAACATGACGTAGATAGGTTTGCAGTTTTCAAGGTGTATATTTCAAATTGCATGTCTTACACACATGAAGATAAATTTGTGAACACCGGCTGAATATCTATTATCAGAATCATTATAACTGTATTTTAACTGCTACTGTGTAAAGGGAATACTGCTGTTAAAAAGAACCTGATTTGTTTAAAGTGTTTGCAAACCAAATATTAGCAGTACTTTTAAAATAAAAGTGCGCAATACGCTACTTTTGAATTCAATTTTGAATTTTGCTTATAACAATGCGATTATTCGCAAAAAAACATGCGATTAATCGCAATTAAAAATTGTAATCGTTGCCCAGCACTATATAATAGTTAATATCTGTCATGCTTTTAATCATTTCTTAAAAACTGCAAAATGTGATGGCACAGAATACAGATTGCAGGCCGGTGACCCGGATTGGTATGTTAGTCTGTATGAGCATGCGGCAGGACATTCTGTGGATGCTGGCAGAGTCGATGAAAATAGACAAGTGACACCCACCCTCTAAAAGGAAAAGAGATTTACCTCACACAATCTATCCATCCATCCATCCATTTTCCTCCGCTTATCCGGGGTCGGGTCGCGGTGGCAGCAGGCCAAGCAGGCTGACCCAGACTTCCCTCTCACCGGCAACATGTTCCAGCTCATTCTGGGGGATCCCGAGGCGTTCCCAGGCCAGCTGGGAGATGTAATCTCTCCAGCGTGTTCTGGGTCTCTCTCGGGGTCTCTTCCCAGTTGGACGTGCCTGGAAAACCTCCAGTGGGAGGCGTCCAGGAGGCATCCTAATTAGATGCCTGAACCACCTCAGCTGACTCCTTTCGACGCGAAGGAGTAGCGGCTCGACTCCAAGCTCCCTCCTGATGACCGAGCTCCTTACCCTATCTCTAAGGCTGAGCCCGGCCACCCTACGGAGGAAGCTCATTTCGGCCGCTTGTAGCCGCGACCTTGTCCTTTCGGTCACGACCCAGAGTTCGTGACCATAGGTGAGGGTAGGAACGTAGACCGAGTGGTAAATTGAGAGCTTTGCCTTCTGGCTCAGCTCCCTCTTCACCAAGATGGTCCGGTGCAGCGCCTGCTTTACTGCTGCAGCCACACCGATCCGCCTGTCGATCTCCCGCTACATCTTACCCTCACTCGCGAACAAGACCCCGAGATACTTGAACTCCTTCGCTTGAGGTAGGCACTCCGTCCCCACCTGGAGGGAGCAATCCACCGGTTTCCGGCAGAGAACCATGGCCTCAGATTTGGAGGTGCTAACTCTCATCCCCGCCGCTTCACACTCGGCTGCAAACCGCCCCAGTGAATGCTGGAGGTCATGATCCGAGGAGGCTAACAGGACCACGTCATCTGCAAACAGCAGAGAGGTGATCCCGAGACCCCCGAACCTGACGTTCTCCGCCCCCAGGCTGCGCCTAGATATCCTGTCCATGAAAGTCACGAACAGGACCGGTGACAAAGGGCAGCCCTGGCGGAGGCCAACACCCACCGGGAACGTGTCTGACTTATTGCCGAGAATGCGGACACAGCTCCTACTGCAGTCGTACAGAGACCGGATCCCCCGATCCACCGCATACTCCCACAGCACCCCCCACAAGAACCCCCGACGGACCCGGTCGAAAGCCTTCTCCAAGTCCACAAAGCACAAGTTGACTGGTTGGGCAATCTCTCAGAACCCCTCCAGTAGTCTTGCGAGGGTAAAGAGCTGGTCCACTGTTCCACGGCCGGGACGGAATCCGCATTGCTCCTCTTGGATCTGAGGTTCGACAAACGGTCGGAGCCTCCTTTCCAGCACCCTGGCATAAGCCTTCCCTGGGAGGCTGAGTAGTGTGATACCCCGGTAATTCGAGCACACTCTCCGGTCCCCCTTTTTGAAGATGGGAACCACCACCCCGGTCTGCCAGTCCATGGGCACTGATCCCGACCCCCATGCAACATTGAAGAGGCGTGTCAGCCAGGACAGCCCAACCATGTCCAGCGCTTTCAGCATCTCAGGGCAGATCTCATCCACCCCCGGCGCCTTGCCACCGAGGAGCTTTTTAACTACCTCAGCGACCTCTGCCAGGGATATGGGTGAGCCTCCCCCTAGGTCCTCAGGCGCTGCCTCCTCTCTGCAGAGGACATGTTGGTCGGGTTTAGGAGTTCCTCAAAGTGCTCTTTCCACCGCCTGACGATGTCCCCCGTCCGGGTTAGCAGTTCCCCCCCGCTGAGAACAGCCTGGGGTAAGCCTTGCTTTCCCTTCCTGAGCCGTCGGATGATTTGCCAGAACCTCCTTGAGGCCAACCGAAAGTCCTTCTCCATGGCCTCCCCGAACTCCTCCCATGCCAATCTAGTGCATTTTAAAGTGTATATAAAATAAACTGGTAGGATTATAACTCTAATTAAAGCTGCAAGCAGCGATGAACGGGCCCTCGCACCTTTGCGTACGTCGGGGGTACTTGCGAGACCTCATCTTACGCGGCCGAGAATGTCTGCGACCATCGGACAACACGACCACGAGTTCGACGTTTTTTTTCTGCTTGGAGTATTTGACCCTGGAAGTTATGCTTTGCAAATAGTCCACCACTTCCTGTAACCACTGTGTGGTGCTAAACTATGCGTGTTAACATGCATGATGTTGCTCTATAT